CTTTGGCTTCAGGATGCTTGGCTAGCTGTTCCTGAAGGCATTTCTGTATCATGCAACCTTCCTCTTCCTCCTTACTCCCATGTTGTTTATCTGAACCACAACTGAAGTAGTGGTTGACATGTTTGTTTGTTTATTATTTATTTATTTATTTATTTATTTATTTATTTATTATTCATTTATGATTAATATATTTTTGGTGACTATGATCATGATTTATTACTTATTGCTTGTGTGTACATTGAGAGCTTTTGCATCAGAGAGAAAATCTTTGTGTGTCAAATCACATTTGGCCAATAAAGAATTCTGTTCTGTTCCATTCTGTTCTGTTCTTTCTCTGTTCTGTTCTGTTCTGTTCTGTTCAGTTCAATTCTAATTCTATTCTATTCTTGTCTATTCTAGTCTTTATCCAGCACAAGTCCTGTTATTTGTATAACACATACCACTTCAGCAACTTCTGAACTGATGATACAGGAGGGGGTGGGATCTGTTCAGCTACCATTGGTCCTTTAGCTGGACAGGTGTGCCCCTTTTCCTCCTGTCACCTACAGTGGATGTAGTGGCTGGTCTTCTAGTCACATGATGGGGAGACAATCATATTTATTCTCTCCTCCCAGTTTACTTACGAAGCATGTCGACAGATCTCCTAGGGTAGCAAGACAATTCCCCAACTTTAGCCATTCCAATGAAACACATTGGCAGATCACTCAGAAGATCTGAGGGGAGGAAGAACAATTGAGGTTTGTCAGTATGGGGGCTTTCCACAGAAGCAGTCTGGCAATGCCTCTTCTACCTTGCCATAATTCATCTGGCCCTTGGTCCACGAAGTGTAGTCCCACTTCCCAAGGATCAGGTGTTGCAGGTGATCTGGGGATGAATTGTAAAGCAAGAGGAGAACCTGAGAATCTCCCAGATTGAATTCTGACAAAATGGTCACATTTCAGCAGAACAGTTAAAGCCCAGTTTAGCATAAAAATACAGGTAAAATGTTAGGTGGCTGCATTTTCTTTGCACAAAGTTATTCAAACAAATGCTATCAAAACTAAGGTGTAAAAAGTATAGTTAGGGACACACAAAGGAGTTTGGTAGTCTGCCGCTGTTGTCCTGCAGGCAGTTGTTCCAGTTGTTACCTATAAAGGTATTTTTGTTTAGGCTATCTAAACAAAAATAATGCAGCAAATCCATTCAATTATGTGCCATCAAGTTGATGTCAGCTCTTAACAATCATAGAGCAATGGAATCTATCTCTTTCTCTCTCATTCACACACACACAGAGACACACATACACACAGAGTTTCAAATGGATCTCTGTGATGTAAAAGGAGGAGCTTGACCCATTTCAATAACTTCTTTTGTGAGTTCTGTGTTTCCTCAGTGGTGCTTCATGTTATGTATTACAGAAGTGAGCAAAAAATTATCATGGGCGCTATAGGTGATTCAGGAAGTCACAGGGATCAAATGAGCAGTGCAACAATCCTAATCAATAAGGCGTTTTGCTAATTTCAGATATCAAATGAACAGAATTTGACCCAAAGAGCAATTGGACTTTCCAGTTTTTTCTCTGAAGACGTTTTGCTTCTCATCTAAGAAGCTTCTTCAGCTCCAACTGGATGGTGAGGAATGGAAGGACTTATACGAAGCAAAATGTCTTCAAAGAAAAACCGGAAAGTCCAGCTGCTTCTTGAAAAGCACCTTTGGGACAATCATGACCTGGAGGACTGAGCATCTCCTCAGACATTTAATGAACAGAAATGGACTTTTGGGCTTTACAGAATTAGTGTTTTTCTGTCTTATCTTTGATAGCAGGAAGGACTTTAGGGATAGCCCACGAACTCCAGTGGAAAGTAGCCTTTATACCAAACTGATTTCTAGATTTATAAGCTATAGTAGCTAATGAAAGATAGTGATGCCATCATTCCTTGCCTGAATGCAACCTATATATATCATGTCGGGGGGAGGGGAGGGGGAGATTTCTAGCAGAGACCCAGCTTTGAAACCACAAAGAAATATAAGGCGATGTCTTTCTTTCTTTCATTTGTTTTCAAAGAAAGCAGCCTTCCTGAAACTTTTTTAGGCTCATGCAACAATCACTGCTGCAAATTGATGACTTTGCATTTGCAGCCGAAATGTATTTAAACAGTTCCCAGGAGTGATGCAGCCAGCAGGCATTAATTCAGGTTTGCACACTGCAGCCCTGGAAAACACTAAAAAAAGGCTGTTTTCCATCGAATGTCACCCTTTTAGAGATGTTGTCATGCCCATCAGGTAAGTCTATTACCCAAAAAAAGATAGCAGGGGCCTCACACTTTCCAAAACAAACTTAAATGTGCCTCATTTGACGCTCATCTTGTGGTTTGAATTTGGGGTCTTATTTTAGAAACATTCACAGCTTAAGCAGAAATGAACTGCAACAGACTCCCCCCCTTTTTTTTTTTCAGAAAGTGCCAAGTCAAACAGCTTAAGGGGTCTAGCTTTCTTACTCCCAGGATCTGAACAGTAAATTTCACCCACTGAAGTCATGCCCTGATGCCTTTAGTTTGAGGGATAGT